TTCTATCTTCTGTGCATGAGAAGGAATGATTAATACTCATCAGGAAAAACAAGTAACTAAAAACTAAACTTCATGCATGGATTTAGTCATCACCAATAAAATCTGTTAAGAAAATATTTTCCCAGTGTTAATGCAGCAACATAATACCATAGTACCATAAATAACTAATTTGAAGCAGCTTTTCTAACATTATATAACTCCTTCTTGGAATATTAATTTATATACTGCAAGATTTACTCGCTTACACAAATCTACGCTTTCATCCACCAGCAGAAGTACCTATTGATAACAAATAAGGGAAATAAAATGTACGTCCTCTTAATACATAAACGTTGCATTAGTCACTAAGTCTCCAGATAAGTCAGAAGTCTGCAATCCTAATATTCAGAATAGTGGAAAACAAACAGAAGGGCCCTGTAGCTATGTTCGCAATCTGTCCTAGCAAAACATCTGACAGCTGCAACACTAACAGAATTAACAGTGGAAGAATTAGTACCAGACGCTAAACAGTTGCTATAGAAAGACTCATCCATTTCTCTTCTTCTTCCTCTCTTCTTCAACCTGGCTACCCCACCACTTGACAAAATTAACACTCAGTATCATTTTTTCCCTTTGTTATTAAAAAAAAAAAAAGCAACATAAATACCCTTTCATACACAAGATGATGAACTTCACTCCGCGATCTTCCTAGACTCTTGCAGCAAGATGCAGCTTGCAGCTGAAAGGACTATGTCCCCAGATCTCTTCTTTTGAGCAGAAAATACACATACACTTGCAGAGTGTTCCCACTTATGGGCTGTGGGATTCCACTCAGTGTCATTACAGGGCTGTCAACTGAACAAGGCAGCATCTGCTCCCTTTCTTTACAAGCTCCCTGTCCACACCTAGCCTCATTTCTAAGTGACTTCACCTGTTCCTTTATGTTCTTCCTTCCTTCCCTGCTTCTTTGCTCTTTTCCCACTAAGCACATCTCAAATGATTTGAGTAAGGATGTCTAACTCAAGTGCTAGCATTCAAACTCATCCTGGAACAGCTGAAGCAGACAAACTCTTGAAATCCTACAAGGACAAGTGCTCCCCTCCCCAAAAAAATAAAAAATAAAAAAAGCAACTCTGGATATCAAATTCAGAAGTTCTTCAGGAATTGAATTGCAAATGAGGGCAAGTGTCATGTGTTAAACTATACAGCTTCTATCTCTCTTCTGTCTCTCTTCTATATCTAAAAGGGAGCTACAGAAAAGAAGGGGACCAATTATTTAGTAAGTTGTGATAGAACAAGGGGAAATGTTTTCAAGCTTAAAGAGAGTAGATTTAGGCTAGATATAAGGAAAAAGTATTTTTCAGTGAGGGCAGTGAGGCACTGGCACAGGTCCCAGAGATGTGGTTGATGATTCATCCCTTGATACTTCCAGTGAGGGCTCAGGCCCTGAGCAACCTGGTCTAGCTGCGGTGTTCCTGTTCATTGCAGGGCAGCTGCATGAGATGGCCTTCAAAGATCCCTTTCAACTCCAAGAATTCCATGATTCTATCTCACATCAATTGATCCAACATGAAAATATGTCGTTACTCTGCTAGGGGTGTAAAAAAGAAATCCCAAACCCACCAGAACAGATTTATTCAATACGTGTAAATACAGATGTGCTTTAAAAAGCTTGAAATACACTTTTCTTCTCCAAGCTTCCAGGCACAGTAGTGCTTTACCTGAGGTATCTAGTTAGCTAGATAAATTAGTGTGTTTATATATAATTTATATATAAATACAAATATCCAAATTGTGCTACTATGGAAAAGCAATCATTTTTGAAGGACCAATCTCCTGCCACACATGATAAAAATGTTATTGGGAAATCACTGTCGTACTCAAAAGTCTAAACTCTGCACAATCACTCAGTGTGTCTCCCTGTTTTGTACACTATAAGCAACTTCTCAAACTAATGTCATGGTAAAGACAAATACAGGGCTGGAAAGACAATTCCTCGATCACTGACTCCAACTCCTACTATCACAGACAAGTGCATCTTAGACTCTCTCTAAAGTATTTCATAATCTCTTTACTGAAGAAAGGTCATATTCTGCATAGTGAAACTGTGGCAGTGAGATATTTGATGGGGAAAGAAGTTAAAAAACTGAAATCAAGCTGCAACTGGACTCAGAAATCTTCCATGTGCAATATATAAAACTAAAACAACAGCATTAAATGTCCTTCACTTGTGCTCTTTTCCCCTGGCATTAGCCTATGTGTCTTTCTCTGACAACTCTCTCTGAAATATCAACATATTTTTTCAGTGCAGTTATTCTCTTTTCACATTCATCCTCTTGTCTCTTTAGCAGAGTTGTTGTTTGAGCTTTTACCCTCCTGGAAGCTTTTAGCTCTAAGATGCAAAATGTAACCCCTGCTCCTATTTTGAGGATGTACAGATACAGGTCATTGCAACTAAAAATGGAAAGTTGATGGAAATACAATAGCCAAAATTTTTTAAAATCTCAGTTGAAATGAAACACATAAACTTTTTATCTAGAAGTACAAATGATGGTATTTTTTAGAGAGAAAGTAAAAATGAGGTAAAAATCTCTTGTTATTAAAGTCCTCAAATTATTTCACCTAGTAGTCACCATATAAGAACTATAAGTGGTTAGAGGGGAGATAGAATTCAAAATCCAACCTAAATTCTAGACCAAAAGGAATCACAGAATCATAGAATGGCCTTGGTTTGAAAAGGACCACAATGATCATCTAGTTGCAGCCCCCCTGCTATGTGCAGGGCTGCCAACTACTACACCAGGCTATACTCCCTGAGTCCTTAGTTTTGTACGACAAATGGGTTACATTTAAATAACAGAAGTAATATTTCTACTGAGAATTGTCAAGGATTCTTCAGGAGCAGGAAGTGAAGGACAATCCATTCACCCACACAGTTTTCTAACATGCATCACTGGGGATCCATGTGAGAACAAGCACATGTATGCTCCCCTCACCAGATCTTCATAACTTTTGAGGCTAATAGACAAATTCAAGCAAAACTGATGACAATTATATTTCTTTGAAGTTTATGAAAGTAGGAGTCTAGTTAGTAACATAAGGGAAACTATAAATAATGTGTCCCTTTAGCAAGTTGAACCTTTCCAAACAGCAGAGAATCCACACAGGAGGACAACGCTGCTGCTTGCAGAATTGCTTGTTAAGAAAAAAGAGTTGGTGCTAATGCAGGTCTCTAAAATTGCTTCGTTAACGCAATGTCTTAGCAGGATTCAGAAAGCACCTTGAGGAGAATGCTGCAGCAATGCAGACTTCCTCCTAGCTGGGACTCCCATAGTTTTGCTATTCTATCTCTTTCACTTCAGCTTTGCTAAGGAGTGGAAAGCCAAACTTTAAAAAATGAAAAAAGATTTCATAAAAATGGCATGACAGAACACTGCATGCATCTTGTTTTAGTTATAGACAGTAAATGTATCCATTTTGCAAAGACTCCCATTTCTTCTGCTACTAACAATGCAGATTGCTGAATTTGCTGAAATTCTCCCTTTCTTCTCTCTTGCCCACCATCAACAACAAAAGAATCACGAGATCAAACCTTCTATCCTAACCATGCAGGCACTTACAGTCCCTGTACACATAACTTTGTGCCAACAGGATGTGGCCTTCATTACTGATACATGTGTCAGGAAAGGACTCATTTCAGTTAGGTCTGTTTTGCAAGGCTAAATAGATTCTAGAATTTAATAATGTTTCATCACCTGATGACTACACAAATATAAAAACAGAAGGCAAATACAAACAGCTGTGATTTCAAAAGTGCAATGTTATCTGAAGTGCAGTGCATTGTTATTACTTGGTAATCACTCTTCTGACTTGGGCTTCAAAACATGTTTAACATGTCCTTTTCTCTTCCACTCTAGTATTAACAGAGAAAAAGCTACTGTTCCTATTTAACAATTTCCCTTCCACTTCTTTACCAAGTTTTGTACTTACAATTACTTTTTTGAGTCATCCTCAAAACACGAGAGCAAAGAACATAACTTCCTTGTATATTTTTCTTTCAAGCAGATGATGCTAAATAGAGAACACTACTATTTGATTCAAAGTTACTGTAAGGACATTTTACATACACTTCCTTTTACAACTCAAAAGAACCAAAAATAAGTCAAGTACAACAGAAAAAAATATATATATATAATATTAAGGAGGATAAATTAAGTGTATTAGGTGGTTTCTGTTTCTGAATTAAATGCTCTCCACTCCAGCCTAAAAGCTAATGTTTCTTTATCGCATATTTTAAACCCATATTTGCACAGCTATGTTTAAGCTGTTTTTACAGCTTATTTTGCTTGTAAATATTAAAATATCTGCAAAAGCTTTTAAATGGGTCCTCCACAGGTGTTTTAAAAAGCAAGACTTTTTGCATCATAACTGAAGATAACTACAAAGCACCACTGTAAGCATTTTCCACACCAAGAAACAGGGGCTTCTTTAGGGCTTCTAAGCTCTTTGCAATCTGGAGTCATAAGCCATTTCAGTACTGCTTTACATCTTTACTTGTTAGAATGTTTTTGATTTTGAAATGATGCCAAGGACAGACATCATAGCAGAGGTTTCCTATTTAAAAGGTCAGTTTGTTGGGGTTTTTTTCCCCAAAGCATCTGAACGGTACTAGCACAACTTTAATCTAATATACAGCCTTCAACTAAACCTGAAAGATAATGGTATTCGTTTTTGTTTTAGCAAATCCTCTTCCGCTTCTTTAAACCCCAGTGAAAGCCCATTGCTTGTCAGCAGTTAATGGCTGAGACATGCACTTCATGAAAAGCAATTACAACTTGGAGTGCAACAAGGAATCTGGCAACTTTGAAACACAAAGATGATATTCTCTGGACCACTCAGTAAAAAGCTAAGAGCATACTAGAAAGCACAACAGACATGGTACACACTTAGAAACACATCACAGTAAATCAGTAAATTTAGGGGAATAAAACAGTTATTGGCAAGATACTGGCAGTACATACTTCTGACAAAGCTGGCTGAACAGTACTTTGGGAGAAAGAGGACCTCTTCCAGCCTCTCTCATGCTGTGAAGGAACAAGAACATCGCTGAAGTCAAGGGTCCTGGGCTGGAGAGGTTTACCACCAAAGGATCCTTCAAAATAAAAGTAAAACATGCATCAACTTCAAAATGAGTGACACACAAGTCTTATTTCAGGTTAATACATTTATCACAAAGAGCAAAGTAACCTTTAGTCTTGGACAGTTTGACTCTTTAAAAAGCTTGATGTCACCTAAAGACAGTGAAAGAGCAAACTTATTAACTAAACCGTAATAATAACAATACCAAGAAATTCTCAGCGAACAAACTGGCTGTTAACCAGTAATTTTTTTAAACAAGCATGTCCATTATTCCCAGAATTAAGTGAAATATAGGAGTGTTTACAGAAAGAGTAATGAGTTCTTAAACAGTGAGATCTTTTTGCCAGGCTATGGTTCATCAGAGCTATCCATAAGGGAACATTCTTCCATTTTTTCTCTGAAACTAATTAGTAACAAACATAATGAAATCTTATTTATTCAATCTGTTTTTCAAAATATAAATGCAAGTGGAAGTTTGCCTTATATACCCCTTGGTTTATCTGTTTTACTCTTCTTCTCATGTGTACTGAGCTGAGAGTTGCATACTGAAATTGTCACACATCCAGCAGCCACAGAAGCCCACCCTGCTCCCGCAAGAACTGAGCACCAGAAAGGCTCAGGCTGCAGTTCACAAGCAGAGGCTGACATCAGACCAGTGTAGACCAGCCATTTTTGGGGCAACCTGCAGGACATGGCATCATCTTCTCCATGTTAAGACTCACACCTCCCAGCAGGTCCCAGGGCTGCAGGGAACTGACCAGAAGCAAAACATGCTTCTGAGTTGCTTTGGGGCTACTTGCGTTCAGAAAGCTGCAGGCCATTGGCACTCCTTCACATGCCCCTATGTTCATCCTTGGTCCCAATGTCTACTGGTCTCCTGATCCTCACAAAAATAGATTACAATTTCCAGACAAACAACTAGAGTGTGTGCCTCTTTTAAAAACAGAACTGAACAAAACATAAGCTTTACGGATGCACAAACACATAAAGTAATCGCACCACATTACATGCACTATCAAAACTTGAGAAATACCCTTTACCAAGCACAAAGCTAGCAGTTTCCCCATTACAATCAGTTAGGCTACTAAAGTCCACTGATCTTCTGCTGACATACACAGACCACAAAATACTTTCTGTGCTCCAAAGAGCTTACTTACTTTGTAAGCACTGTCATTAAAGAGAAAATAAATCTTTCAACCTTATGGCTGTGTAAGGTTCACATCACACATAAGCCAACATACCACTGCTTTTCTAAGCCTCCAGGCACAAACAAGCTCCAGACTTCAGTTGTGGCTGGGGAATAACTTGGTGAAACGTGTTGCTGTTCAGAACTGCCATTAGCAGTAAGAAAGGTAACAGTGCAATGAATTTCACACTGCTCTTGCCTGGAGAAGCTATGAGCAGCACTGAGAACAATATACAGAAATCTTTGTAATTTCAGCAGTGTCTGAAAGATTCCCACCTCTCAATCTTTACCACCACCAGAAAGCTCCCAGCAACCAGCAGAAAGAAAGAAAAAGAAAAAAAACAAAAACAAAAACTCTGCAAAGTGCTGTCTTTAACTACCAGAGGGAAAGGAACACTATCCTTACTCCACCTGCCAACAATATATTATGAAAATGAGCATCTCTAAGAAGCAACAAGGAACTGCTGATCATAATGACAATAGTTTCTTTCCCATATGCCTCTGAGGACAAGACGTTTAGTCTACACTAGTATTTTGTTAACACTCCATCTGGGAAGCATGCATTACATTTTACAAGCCTCATCAATGTATTGCTGAGGCAGACCAGAATAAATATTTCATCAACACTTTATAGAGCCAGAAATACTCTGTCCTGTATTACACACACATATTGAAGAAACAAAATGGGAAACAAACATAAGCCACTCTTTCTTAGGGTCAAGAATTATTTGCTACTTCAGTGTTAGAAAATATGAAAGGAAGTGGCTGTTCTCCTTCTTTCAGGGCAGAACAATTGGTCTTGTCACAGACATCATAAACTGGCTGAACTACTAAAAGATAGCCATACCACCCTGACAATGCCCAATCTTGTCTACAATTCAAAGACAGAAAGAAACAGGAGAGTAAGAGCTCATCTTTAACAGAGATGTGATTTCCTTGCAGCAGCTTCTTCTCACATTTGCCCAAATCCATATTTTTCACTGCATACTTACCAACTGGGAGTCTGAAGTATGACAGATTTTTAACTTTGTTCCTTTCTCCTTCATCTCGTACATCAGTTCATTAAGTATGTGAGTCTGTGCCAAATTCTGAAAGAAAAAATAAACAAATCCAAGAACACATCCATTTTTTTTACTATCCAGCTCTCTTTGTTTATAAATTCTATATTCAGGGTTAGACAAAACCAGACATATTTAATAATGTGCAACTGAGGTTTAAATCAGTAGAAAAAGCAGATACCACCCTTACCAGAGCTATCACTAATCTCAGACTGCTTCTAAAACTGTATCTAATTCTGTTGCTACAATTTCCAAGTATTTTCCTACTAATAACATTGTTATTGTTGAACATTTTTGTTAGCTTGTTTATTTTGCTTTTGTTTCTTTGATGGTGAGAACACTTAAAAGAAAAAGCATTTGTTTCTGTTAAAATTTGTATCCTTCCTCATAGCACCACAGCTTTTTTTTTTTTTTTTTCCTTTATTTTGGTTAATGTTTGCTGCAGATGACAGCTTTCCTCAGTGCCATTTGTCTGCCCAGAGAACAATTTGCAGTAATTATACACTTAAAAATTCACTTTTTATAGCCACAATCATAAATGTTAAGTGAAGTGTGCCAGTTCAGAACACCTTTGAAGCAATTTAATTTCATTTGCTTAGTCTTGATTGCAGATATATATATATCTGTGTCCAACCAGCGGGCATTAAGATGTTTCAATATAAAAGTTAATAATGCTGCTGCTATTTTTAGGATGTTGGATTTGTTATACATTCAGATCAATAAAAGTTTACTCAGATAGTTCATTCTGGTCAGGAAAGAAAAAGCTATAATCAATAAAAATATGCATGAAGTACCACTTTTCACACCCACCAGTACGTTAAATACCGTGCATTACTCATGACTGCCTGATGCTGAACTACAAATAAAACCATATGCTGGAGTACAACCCACACACATATGCAGCATATAACACACGACATTTTCATTTGTCTCAATACTTTGAAAAACGCTACTGATCCAGGAACTCTTTTTTTTTTTTTTTTTTTTTTTTTTTAAATGAAAGGAAATATTGCTTAGATAGAAAGGAGTGGAAAGAATTTGAAAAGGGCTTTCTGAAAGCAGAAAGTAACCTTCAGAACCTTTCACAAAGCCCATGGTTTATAAAAATTAACATTTCTGAAGTCTATACAGAGAAAACTGTATGAGCATTCCATCTTACCTGCATGACAGCATTAAAAAAGCACGTATTTCCTAAATTATTTATTCCTTTAACTGGAACTGATGTACCATTACCAGAACCTTTCCCTCTCAGAATTTCACTTGTTTCACTGCTTTCATCACGGAGTCGTATGATTTTTGATGAACCTGTAATTAAACTATAGATTAGCATTACTTGATTACTGGACAGTTAAAACAACTCAGTCCTTCTTTGGATTATGTTTATTATTTTTGACATAAGCTGAAAGACACCCCAAAGGCACACTAAGCCACTTCATAAAGCCTTTAAAAAACATGAGACATCAACAGTTAAAACCTGGGGAAAAAAATTCCCACAACTACATATATCCAACAAGTGCCTTACACAACAATTAGAACATCTCCTAAGACTTTAGCTTCTTCATTATGTAAAAAATAAAGAAGTAAAATAGGTTCTGTTAGTCTATCAACAACAAGAAGTTTAATGTATGTTCTTTAGATGCACTGGAAACACCACAGACAAGGGCTGTTTTCTGGTGCCTTTATGGAGACGTAACCAAAAGTTACCACCTGAATACTGCACATCTTTACCAATTTTTATGCTTTGCTTAAATTGTCTGGTACGACTTGGCCAAGGCAGTTCCATTTGAGTTGTTATCAGTTTTCTCAAATGCTACCCCCACCCACCTCCCTTTGTAGCAGCCTGAGGAGTTGCTAGTAAAACCAAAATGGATACAACGTTATTTTAATTTCAAACCACAAGAATTTGATAAAACTGCAATGGAATATGCTACCAGCATAACATCCGTGCGTTTTCCTATTTCTCTTATTATTTAAATAGATTGGGGCAGCAAAGTTAGACAGTCATTAACTTGTAGCCTAGAGGTAACGGAAAGACTTGAGATAACAATATTTAGCCTGGAATTCTACTAGCAACTTTCATATTGTCATGGTTGCAGGACTAAATATGAACATTACTGACATCTGCAGCGTCTTAAATATTGATTAACAATGCATGTCAATGTAAACGAGTTATGGACTTAATAGATGCCAAGAACTGTGATGCTGCAATCTATGCCTTGACATATGAATTCACGTATTTGTTCTAATGAGTTTCACATTGAAATCTCATTAAAGTGTTCTTGGGAAATAACTAACCAGCCTATTTACGTTAATGAAATGCTCATGCCAAAAGGTTCTTTAATGTAGGTTCTGCACAGTTTCTTGCTTACAAGATGAAAAAATATAATTAAATAAAAAACAAGTCATTAAAATATTTTATCTGCAACAAGCCTCTGATGCAGCCTGCCTGCACCCTGCAGCGCCGTCAAGGCATAATTATTTCTCTGAATTGCATCTGAGTTTGTCAAACTGCAGCGAGAGGTGCTTCGCTGTTTAAAGATATTTTTAAATGTTCTCAGTAGCACTGCTTACACAGGTTTAAAATATTCTTCTTTCCACAAGAGAAGGGCAAAGAAAGAGATTAAATTGTCCTTGGAAAAGCAACGTGTTTCTGAATGCAGTAAACAAATGGCTTGAGAGCTGCTCACACCCAAAAACAGTCACTGTTTCACGGACTATGTACAGTAACATTTTTTAATTTACATTGCAAGGGGGTTATTCTACAGTGTCTGATGCTCCTCCATCCACAAAGAGCTCCAAAAGCACCTTAGCAGAAGAAAGGGAGCCCCAAGTATATGCAGCTTGAAGGCACTCCTCACTCTCAGAAATCTGATAATATTATTGGAGACTTCTTCCTTTTGGAAAAGTGTGGACACAGAGAAATGCTGGGGAGAAGAGATGGTTAAAAAGAAAAAAAAAAAAAAAGCCAAAATTGTGTAAATAATTTGTGTATTAGTATACCACAGTTGTTGCATTTATCCATCGGCATTCAAAAACATCTGGGACAGCATCTTAAAGTAAACAATGTTCACAAGGCCATCTGGACAAAACTGCAGGCAAAAATTAAAGCATAAGCATATGGAAAAGCAGATTTTTCTCTTCCCTTTAGCAGTACAGGATGACAAATGTCAAACCTAGATCTGTCCACGCTTCACTGTGCTACGCTTTGCAGCACCACCTGGCTCTCCTTGCACAGCCACCAAATATGGACAGCACTGCCACAGCGGACCATATCTGCAGGGCAAACTCGATAAAAGCATTTCACTTCATGGTTAAATGGAAACTTCACACAAGTAGCAAGGCTCCATTTGCTGAATCTCACATATGAATTATTTAAGGGGGAAAAACAAAGCAACAGCATCCAGTTTTGTGATAAGGGCTAAGAGAAAATGCAATTGCAAAGCACAGTGCATGAGAACCAGCCATACGATGTCACAAAGCTGGATAATTAGCACAGGGATGAGAAGGAGCAATAAATTAAGAAGAGGCCTGTATGTTGTTACAGAAATCTAGGTACCTCCTTTCATTAAGAAGGCTTTAATTATAATCTCTTCATTTTGCAGTACACTTCACAAGCTAATTCCACACAGTATTTCACTAGCTTTCTGTATCTTTGAAAAAAAATCACTGCTTTGCCATTACAATCACTATCTGCCATCTAGCTTACTCCATACAGACATTTTTAGGGACATAAGAAGAGCCAGAGGAAGGACGGCGGTTTCTAATTGAACTCCGTTCAGCGTCCCTTGTTTGAGGATAGATGACAGACAGGCCTAAAGCTGAATGTTTAGTTGACATGTGATGAGTTGGCCAGTCTTAATAGAAGATGCTGGTGATGCCTGCGATAGCTAGTACTTCCACAGCTTGGGGCTGGAGGGTCCTTCTGCAATCTTAACCCACGGCTACAAGCCTGTTATTAATCAGAAGACCAATACGTAATTTTTTAAAGTGAATTTGCACTGAACTGTTTCAGATTCCTCCTGACCTAATCTTGCAGCTCTGTAATGTTTTCACAGAAGTGCTCTAGGATATGAAAAGGGATTTTTTAAGCCAGTATAGATAAAAGAATTTTAAGATAAGGACTCTATCAAAAAAAACTACTGCTGTACACGAGGACCTACAACTCCTGGCTGAATTGCATTCTGTGAAAGGAAGAACTGCCATCCACCCAGCCACGGGCAGCAGTAACTGTTACAGAGGAACTGCTGCCAGCCTTACCAAGAGCAAGGTGGATGAAAAGTACACATGTAATGGAATTAATCGCCTCATTTCTGTATGCAACTCACTATTACGTCTTTTAGAGTTGATACAGGTCCCCTCAGCCTCTTTGCCTTCCTCAGACAAGGTGGGCATTGGACCTGAGCAGCCATCAGGAGCTGCTTCTCTCCTACAGCACAGCAGACAATTAATATTATGCCACTGTTTTCTTCAGCTTTCCTAGCTCCCTCTGCTCATCTACATCTCACCTTGTAGGCTCTGAGAGAAGGGAACATCACAATTGCACAGCACTGGCCTTACAGGTATGTGACAGAGCTCACGCCCCGACTTGAAGCAGAGAACAATTCAGCTCATAAATGACAAGTCACCAACCCAGGTGCAAAAGCAACATAGTGCTGGCACAATCACTTGCAAAAAATGTTCAGAAAACTTATCGGTGGGCCTATATCTGCCTTCCAGCATTACAAACATTTGCAGCCTATGTGGACTTTTATATCTCTCTTGTTGAAAGTGAAATGTGACTAGGGGTGCAGATGGTATGCAAGCAAAAAATGTAAATGACATCCAATTTTTCTTTCAGCTGGGGGAGTAAGCATTTTTGCTCATCTTTTCAATATAACTGTTGCTGCGTTGTTGTTGTTTTTTTAATTAAAAATGAGGGTTCCAGGAATATGCACTTTTATTCCAAGGTCAAGCCTTTTTCACTGAATAGAACTGCAGTACTTCAGTTGAAGGTCTTCATAGCAAAAGCAAGGTTAATAGATTTCCTTTCTTTTACCAAGTTCTCCTCATGCATGTTTTACAAAATGCTACCAAATTGTCTGGCACTCCTTTTTCATTTAAAATTTTTGGTTTTTTTCCAACACCGTACAACAATGAGAATCCAACCCTTAGAAAAACAGCACTGTAATAATCATAAATGGTCACTAGATTCATGTTCTAAAGGATTGATTCCTCTTGTGGGGTTTCTGTCCTACCAACTTTATTTCTATGATTCTGCCAGGTTGTTATGAACTAAAAAACTCATGCACGTAGAGTGAAAGAGTAACCTACTCAGCCATCAGTGCTGATGCTCCATGCTCAGATGGCTGGTGCTACACCTCACAAGTAAGCAAGCAGGCAGACAGGAAAGGGAAAAACCTACGGCTAAAAATGGCAATGTCTAAAAAATTTTTTATTATAACAAGTTAAGTAATTGTGAAAAATTTAGGACAGACAACAGAAATGTCTTTTTGCTGAGGTATACTTCAAATTTGGATAGTCAACATATTCTGCATTATTTTGCTAGTTACATTTAGATTTTTCATACCATTTGTTTTTCCAGGCATGTTAACACCCAGTATTCATACTGTAAAGTTATGTATTTTTAATTTTTCCATCAGCTAAGGAAAATATCAAGTTTTCAGCTTTCATCTGTTGGCAAAAGCTGGGCAGCTGAACTTATTACCAAAATCTTACTCCTCCACTTTACCTTCCAAATAACAAAATTAACTACAGAATTTGAGAACAGATATTCTTTCTTCTCACTCTATTGCCACACAAACAAATTTAAGTAACTGCTTTATAAAGAAATTCAGTATGCAATCCTATGTCTTCACCAATGTCTAGCTTGGCTTTTATAAAGGAAAATATGCATTTTTAAAAGCTCATAACAATTTATTTTCTCCAGCAAATGAGCAGGCACCCAGCTAGCAATGTCTCAGCATGGTTTCTGTGTACTACATGTGCATTATGTCCATGTGAAGCTCACAAGTGTGCCACACTGACAATACTGCACCTGCCTTTCTGTGAAAATCATCACGGCCTGCTAACCTTTTCCACAAAACAAATTTCTGGGTGGTACACCCTAGAAAGCAATCTTGCTTTATTCTTCCATCTTGTGCCCAACATGACCTCTTAACCAAACAAACTCCTCTACAGAGAGGGGGAGAAAAATAAAAGAAAAAAGGGAATAAAAAAAAAAAAAATAGCAGGCATGGCTGGGTACAACAAACCATAGGATCAGATGCGAAAATCACACAGCTGCAAGCATTCTTTTGGGAACCCAGCACTGGGATTTATCTCAATCGCTTAATGTAATTACAAAAGTCAGTCATGTAGTAGTAATGTAATTTGCACATTTTTACAGCTGAAGTGAAGTCGAATCTTTATGAGAGGCTGAGTGAAAAGCAGGGATCCTGCTGCCACACTATTCCACCACATTAGTACCAAATGACAAGCGTTTTGCTTTTGTTTATTTTCCAGGCTGCATTAATTAAGAAATCTATATAACTCTCCCTTACACACTGAAGCTGTTTATTTTATCTTTAAATGACTCCCGTGCTCTCAAGAATTTAAAAAAAAAAAAGAAAAAATCCCAGCCTTCATCTGTTACTTATATCTGTGCTCATACTGCATTTCTGTAGAATTTTCTACACAATGCTACTTGAATTGTAATGAAGCACCCTGCCAACCAGTCATTAGAATATAAAGAAATCCAGATATAAGATGCATTTTTATTACAGTGCAACACTGGGGTATGAAAAGCAAGTAAATATGTTCAATTAGGCCCTTTTTAATTGAAGGCAGAAACAGAAAAGCAATGGGAAAAAGCATATGATTAATTTTAAAGAAATGAAAAAAAAGTTGTGAGAAACAAGCACTGTAAAACTGACAATAGTTTGTATTTCCAGGTTTAAAATCAGTAGTTTAGTATCAACTAATATACAAAATACATATACTTTTTTTTGTTTGTTTGTTTTTTTTAACAAACCAAGAAGAATTTAAAGGACAACTTACACTGAAAATATCACTGTAACATGAAATGAAATGCTAAACCTAAAACAAAATAAAAGGTAAGTCATGAGTGGTAGAGTTAAATTCATTGCAGTCTGCTGTGTCCTTTGTTTTCTGAACAGCACAAATTATGCTTTGATCTCTGATTCTACTAAAATACATATTCATGATTCTATGATTCTGAGAAGGTATTCTAGCTTTTAAAAAAAATAACTCTTAAGCTACATTTCTCTAGTGCAAGCACCTAATGCTTCGAAGTAACTGTGACGTAAAAGAATGCCGTTGAATTTATGGAAGTAAAACTAGAACATCAGATTGGTGAGGAAGTTCCTGCTTACACACCTATTACTTATTCATCCATGCATCAGTGTTTCCTAGCACCTTCCAGGGGTAGCTGGGACCAAAACAACCAACTATGTGAGTCAAACAGCTTCTTCCTCTTTTAATCGCCGCCTGAAGAAGCCCAACAAAGTACCTTTGGGCCAATACTGCCAGAGCTCAAACTGAACAGCTTGGCACAGCCTCTTCCTGACTGAAGGCTGCAAACGTCCCAGCTCAGGACACATATTTTCCTACTTCTGCAGGTGAGCCTCAGCCTATCCGGAACAGCACAGGCAACACCACTGCCCTCCAGCAGCCGCCCCCACACATGGAGCAGCCTTTTGCTGCAGAAATGAGCATGCAGTGGGGTACACCGGGGAACTGACCCAGGCCAGAACAAACCCAGCAGAAACCCTGACCATATATAGAAAAAATGCATTCTGCCCTGCTCTAATACAATCCCCTGATTGTTAAGACAACCCTACTTCTTCTGAACTAGTTTGGAATTGTGCTTGCTTAATTTAAGACATTTCACAGAAAAGTAATTTTCTAAGCCCTCAACTCTGAAAGCTTTAGATGTCTTCAAATTTCACAAATTAATATTCCAAAACATGAAGCACAAAGAATCCTATCACTTCTGAAAGTCTTACCCAGAAGTTCTAAGCCAGAATGAAATTGTTTCCATTAAATTAACTGAAACAAACATTCCATTTTTATCTGCAAGAGAGCTGCAACAGCAATTTATGTCTACATGAAAGCTTGAAACTGTAGCTATGAATAAAAGTGAAATCACACACAGCATTTTCATCATTCGTTTCATCAGGCAAAATGATGCAAAAAGGAGCAATTCATAAATTTATTACAAATAAATTACTCAGTGTAGAACTTGTGACCAGATAAAATACAAAATATGAATTTCTGAGTGACATCTAGACTTTTTTCCCCTCAAGAATTACCTATTAGAACTAGCAGGATTTGTGCACATGCAGCTAGAAGAATGTAGTTCAATCCAGTAAGGCGCTCTGTTCCAATCTTACTTCCAACCAGACTGGGAGGGTGGTGTGGTGTGATGTGATGTGATGTGTTGTGGTGTGTGTGTGTGTAACCTGGAATCTGATGTCTCTCATAAATCAAAAGCCAGAAATGCTCCAGTGTGTGTTACAGTAGGGATGAATAATAAGGATTCTCAAGAGCAGACAGTTGAGGGCCACACATACAACGTTCTATCTATAATCACATATACTGATAAATATAGGAAGCTCCTAAAGTAATAATTTAACATAATTTTCTATTAACAGAAAAAAGCATTACATCACAATCCAATTACATCAAAGAATAGAAAGCGTTACACTCAACAACAGAGTACTATAAGATCCCCTTACACAAATTTAATTAACTACACAAAACAAATCAGAATCAGAAAAAATTCGAGATGTTGCACATCCACTCTTTTAAAATTCAATTCATTAATTCCTCCAGATAGCTTTTGTGCATTAATTCATATGGCACTTTACTTAAGGTATAATATTTTCTCTAGAACAAACTGGTACTTCTTCATTAAAGATAAAGCTTGGGAAAACCATCCTATAGTGCCCAAAATACTTGAAAGAATTAATTGTGCTGAATAAAAGAAATTCAATTGTTTATCAAAACCACTATGATAAGCATAACTTGCCCAAATAGTCATGCAATTAAAAATTGCATTATACTCCCATACTCATATATACTTTTTGAATTAAATGTTTAATATGACTCAAAATTTGAAATATTCATTTTTAGAGACAGTACATTACAGATGTTCCAGGTACAGTTATTTGTGTATACTTACTTGGTTCAGCTCTGGAACCATGTTTCTGAAGAAAGTCAACTATCTGAGCCAAAGCCTTTTTGTTGCAATGTGTTGACAGCTCTTCATCACATTCATAACACCTAAACAAAAGAGGAAATGCACTGGAATTCAGGATATCTGTATTCACTTCCAAGTTTTAACGGACCTTTAAAAACATCTTACACAAATTACTTAAGCTCTAGGTCTCAAATCTTTGCGCTAAAAAGAGGAGTAAAATTAAATCCCCTCATCCCATACACATTCTTCTTTAGATCAGCCCTAATTCACTTCAAAATTAACAGATTTAATTAATGTCAGTTAAAAGCCCTGCAAGTAGCCAGATAGAAACAAGCAGGAAAAGCAAACTCCTAAAATCGATCAACTCTCTACACAACACAACAGACTCTCAAACTACTATGCTACTATGCTGTAATCTTCTTCATTGGCAATAAAGCACACTGCTCACTGCAAAAATCACATCTCAGCCCACAACTCAGTGTACATTTTGTCAACTTAAAAACAACTGACATACAAGAAAAAGGTGGGTGATGTGATGAATATCATTTGACAGGAACAAACCCGTGTTTGGACTAAGAAGAAGATAAAAAGAAAAAGCAGCTCTCATGGGACAGGCAGGCAGGAAGCTTACCAAAACTGCTTTCTATTTTACTGGATTTGTGATCTCTCTACATACCTAAGCACAAACTAATTTTCTGTACAGAAAACCTGCCTCTTTGCTCTTCAGAGATCTACATAAACAGCTTATTTTATCTTCCAGAAATACTCTTTATAATAAAAAGACAGTGCTCTTAGTTAGGAGTAACCTTATATACAAGCATAAATTAACACCCTCCTACTTATTCTTACCATATGATCCATGTACTGAGACTGATAACAATGCAATGAGGTTCTGTGCGTGCTGTTTGGAAGTGTTTTAGAGAATGCTGTCCTTCTGAGTTCTTACTACATCCCTAAAAATGGAAACATTAATATAGTGAGAACAAAAGGGAAGTGGGAAAAGAGTATATTAGTTAAATAAGCTATAAAAACCTTACTTTTCAAAATCAAGCAGAAAGCTGCAATGCATAAAAATATTCATTCTCAACAACTAAAAGGGTTTCACATTCAAAATAATCCAGTATGACAAAGACATCAATTAATGTTTTTGAAAAAAAATTAAAAAATAAAAGCACACTTTCTTTTTTTCTAATACAAGAAAACTCATTACAACACAAAAATAGTATCTCATATTTTCTACTTAGGAAAATTATTAAACTTGTTTTGAATTAAGAGAAATAACTCCTATCTTCTGAATGAGTACTGTCAATATAAAGCCAATTATGCCACTTACAAAGGTTTACAAAAAAAAAGTGAATAATTGTGTAGCTCATTTGGTCCATGGAATATCAAGGTAACCTTCACTGCTCAAGATTGCTCATGCATTCCAAATAGCAAATGCAAAAGGCATATAAATTGTTGTGGTGGTGTTCGTTTTTTTTTTTTCCCCACTAAAAAACTACTCAGAATAAAACACTTATGTACAGCAAATCCAAGAGAAAATGTGCAGTTTTTCAAGTATCTACAGAGTGGAACTTAGAAGACTAAGGAGGAATACTGGTTTCTGAATAAGACGTGAATTTTAGAAGCCATTGACTGCATAAACATGAAAAAGCACATTGATTTAACTCCTTTAACAGATCTCCTTAGCTACAATTTTTCAGAGTTAATCTACGAGTCCTCCTCAGATCTAGCTAACTGCCTTCCAAAGCCTAGTAATAGCATGCTTCTTTTCAAAATAAAATATATTCAGATAATCCTGGTAGAAGCTGGCATTTGTCTTTATTGTAGAGAAAGATCCGTAAGTAGATTGTTTAACAAAATTGTAAAATGTTCTTTCTAGGCAACTATCAGCTGAAATAAGAATGACGCTGCTTGTAAACTCCATTTTTCAGAATCAGCCTTTACTTCAGTCACAGGCCAGAGGCCACCACCACTTGGGGCCAGGACCTTCACTTTTAAACTCTAAGGCCACAACGTGACATTGTAACTGATCCATACTATTAGCCTTAATAGAAAATTAACAGAAAGCAGCATTCGCACTTCCACCCATTCCTTCTTCTTGGGTTCAACCACATCTAGCAATTGAGTGTCTGCAGTATAAACTGATTCAGCAATTTGCAAATTCACTTATTCGTTCATTCGTATTTGCAGTATCTTCTGTCACATAAGCCAGCTCAACTGATGTATTTTGCAACTGTACAGTTCCTGGAGCTAATTTTCCGTATGTGGAAAAAGCACGCAGATGAAGTACAGAGAAGAGGGGAACTACCACCTGTAGGTGCAGAGCTGCACATAAATAAAGCTACCCCAAAATACTGACAAAAACAGCAAAGAACACAAGGCCACATCCCAGTCTATTTAAAAAGCTGAAGCATGGATTCTCACAACTAAGCACTTAAGTAACACTGTTTCAACGAAAGTAATGAGATGCCATGCCAACAGGATCTATATCTGTAATGTCCTTTAGAAAATTAGGGCTTGTCCATCCCTGAGTTCAGAACAGGTGCTTACCTGAGAGCCACACTTGAGACACAGCCATATGTCTGAAGGTGCCACAGGCTCACCGTCACTCATCCGCCTTTCCTTCAGACACTCTGAACATATTGACCAAATGCTCTGAGCTACTGCTCTCTTCACATGATGTACATCCACTGCTTGGCTCACGTGCTGGCAGGTTAAGCCTAAAGAAAATGACACTTTGAGCAATTGAAAATAACAGTTAGGAAGGAGAGCATATGTACATGAAAGGAGCACAATCTTTAACTTCAGCAACAGTAAAGGTTCCCACACTGTAATTGCACGCAATTATTTTGGCTCAAGACTCTCCACTTGCTTTTGCTGAAGTCCATGAAGTTTCTGTCAGCTCAATGCTCCAGCTGCCTAAGCCAATCTCAATAGATGACCTACCCTCCATTATATCAACCCCTCTCCCAGTTTGCTATCAAGATATTTATGAAGATGAGTGCAGCCTCACAAGAACATCACACAGCTCTCAGTAGCTTCATATGCATTCCACCGGATCCCATGGACTCACGTATGCCAATTTGCACAACAGCTCTCAATTGTCTTCTTTCCAGATAATACTTCAACCTAGAGTCTGCCACTAGGCTCAAGGACCAGAGGAGACTGAGTGCAGACACTGTTACATGTGAAGACAGGCAAAGAAAAGATTGAGTTCCTCAGCTTTTTCCCATGTCCCCTGTCCCTAGGGTGCCCTGCACCCTCAAGTTGCACATTCACACTCATCTTAGCCTTCATTTTGATGTCACAATACCAAAAGAAGCCCCTCTCAACAATCGCTTCCTGCATCAGATTCAACTCTAACCAATGAAGCTTACCCAATCTCATCCCTACATAATCAAAGCCCCTCAGATTGTAATTCAACCTGTTTCTACTCTGTCTATGCTTCATCTTTGCCCCCCAGCTCAGTCAGAAGCTCTCTGCTCTGCCATGCATCTGATCTTCCATGCATGAGAAAAGACTGCTACTGTGTTTCGAAATGGTTGTCATGGAAGACCAACCCTTCAGGACAGTCATGCAGTGTAACAATCACAAAGTAAAGACTTGATTGAAGATGCCCTGTCATGAATTCAAGCAATAAAAGTACTTCCTGGTACCAATGAGTTGTGGTTTTCATCAGTCAACATGGAAATTATTAGCCCTCAACCTTAGATCAAAACATCATTTAATGTATTTACCTGCAATATCATCTGAAGAGTCTTCATCCTGTGGCCTGTTAGGCCTTTTGCTTCTCTTTGTTTTCTCAGGGTTAGCTCTTGATGGATCTTTCACCCGCATCTGTTACTTACTAGCAAGGATAAAAAGGAATTACTTATTGCTTAAATATACCGTTAAGTTTAAACTCTATTAGCACGTGAGCACGTCATGTATTCAAGCCTCAGGAACACAGGTTTAGACTTTGACTAATGTCACCTACTTTGTGATAAAAAAACATGAATATGTCAGGAATGAACTCTAAAGAATGCTGTAATATCAGTTATATTACATGATGTTATAAATTGTACCTGTAGCTACAGGGGACATGTGCTTCCAGGCAGCAATGCTAAATATCTGAGATAGTGAGATTTATTTTTACCATTTTAAACTACTACAGAGTCCCAGCCACATCTTACCAGGAAAGCTCCCTTCCTTAACACATCTCTTCCATAACATATCTCCTGTAAGAAAGGCTTCTGTCATCATTTACCTGTACATGTTCCTGAAAACATTTTGAACAATTTCAGATGGTTTAATAAAAGACAAATGTCTTCCAATTCTTACAAAACTGTCATCAGTGTGGACCAACTACAATGTGAGCTGACCCCCTTGTTAAACATCAGAGAATCCACACAAATGAACACTCACAGAAATTATTAAGAGAGTCCTAAGAGACAAAGAACTGAATGGTAAATATTTTACACTAAGCTTTAAAAACTAATAAATTTATCGGAGATTTCAGTGCACTAGCTACTTAATCAAAATCCAAATCTTAATTCACTGAATCAGCACTGCAGTGCATCACACAGCTTCTGCGGTTTCATTTGCGGGATGTCTTTTATGACGTGCTTCATAAAAACAAATAAACTTATGTTTTGAGATACAAAAGCATATCAACGTGAGACAGTCAAATATTCAAGCACAGCAAATCTGTGAGGCATTCTGCTTGGAAGAGCAACGACATCTTGTTGTAGTACCACATACAGGTTAATAAAGTCATTTGGTCCACCAATACCAAACATTTTTTAGCTGTGCTACCACACTGACATGTAATAAGCCTCTGCAAAACTTCACATTTAGGAACAGCAAAAGATGCATTCTCATTATAGATCTAGTAGATATGTTTGCCATTGTCTAATCAAGTTTTTAAATCTTCACTGTACTTCTGCAACACTGAAAGCCACTGGGACTCACCACTGTTAGCACGCGAGCAGCCCTCACTGGGGTGAAGTAGGCAAGGAATGCCTTAGAGCTACTGCTTCAGGCTTCCTACAAACCTGGACAGACACTTGTGCACACAACACTACTGCTAGGTTCCTGCAGAAACACCTCACTACCAATCACAGAAGTATTTTGGAAGAATTGGAATTCTGTAGAGTAAGAATAACCTCTGTTCTCTGCTTCCTTGCACGGGTAACTTCACATATCTCCAGCCTGTTAAAACACACATTTTTCTTTTCTTTTCTTTTTTTTGTAATTGGCCACAATATATAACGGCAATTAATTTATGCCATCAAGACCTTAAATTGTAGATCTTTAAATTTTCTGTAGCTAACAACATAAAGCTTCAAGTGCTTAGACATTCAAGTAAGCAGCGTTACTACATTCAGGTTGCTGACTTGGCGGATTTGCAGTCTGTGCTCACACAGTAAGAAAGATCTGACTATACCAGCTCTTGACTACTTATAATTGAGTAAATTTAAAATCCCTGATGTACATCAACACATGTATCACAGAACAGAGAAAGGTGCTTTCAAGCCAAGCAACTTCAAGTGTGCGTTTCTACCTTGTCATCGTCTAATACCCAAACAAGCTTCACGTGAAACTGCACACCATCACTTGTTGCAGCATGCAACTGTTCTTATTCAACGCTGATGTAATTATCTACTTCTTCATTTCAGCATGAGAATTTCTTTTAACTGTTTGGACAGATTGTCTAAGACTGCCCAAACCACAGATTTCACCCAACTGATGGTCATGCTCACACTGGTCCATTTCAAGTCCCCTTATATCTTCATGAAAGAACAGTTATGCACCTGACCAGCTGAAATGCAAGCACATCTCTTCCACCTCTGAACCCCTGTGGCCAACAGGCCAGAGCACAGCACATGGAACAGACAGGAGCAGCTCGCTGCTGGAACCCACTCTCAGCATGCCTTTGGGACATGCGGAGAAGGAAGAGCATCAAACCTGTAATAATTGGAAAGGAGGCCCTTCTGACAAAATATAATCAACATAGTATCAGAATGAATGCTGACATAAAATCCAAGCACTGACAACGCACATTTTGGCAATCCACCAACCAATCTGGAGACACTTCTGCCTTCATTAAGTAAGAGCAGGCTGAACAAAAGGTAACAAGGACGAGCAGATGAGTCAGTTTTCACAAACACAAACAGAGAGGCGTCCATCAGGCAATGTTTACTGACTCTAGAGTTCTTGGAAAAGCCACTGAATATCAGGACTTGACCACACAAGGCTTGTGTCTGATTTCTGAATCATCCCACAGAAGTGGGATGAAGGGCTAAGAAAAGGGAGCCGTTCAGCAAGTGTCTGAGATGCAAGTAGCACAGTACATACACAGCACTGCCCAACCTCTTTCTACACATTTAAGGTCTAAAAACATTACAAGAAAAAAATTGAATATAACAATTTAAATCACAACCAACAATGTAGGATCAAAGTGATTATGCAAGGAATTTGATTATTGTATTTAGATGAGAGATAGAAGAGTTGTAAGGTGCTTCAGAAGTTATTCCTCAGAAATGATTCCGTGTATGTGAAACAAAAGATTGAAAATTAATAGGAGTGAAAACCCTGAACAAAAATAGATCCCCTCAAAAAAAAACCATAAAATACAGCTAAGAAGAAAGCAAGGAAGAAACTCTCTACATTTCTTTTGATCATAGGCACAATCCATTCAAGACAAGCAGGCAGAGGGGAAGTAAACAAAATGAACTAGATACACTGAGGATTAAAATGTTGGCAATATCCACACAATTTGCCTCTTTCCAATCCAGCCTCTTTAAATAAAAATAATTCAGTTTTGTGGAAAAATAAAAAATAAATGCAGAAAGAGCCAAATCCTATCCATTTAAATAATCCTTCCATACAAATCTAAGAACTAGTTCTTGCCAAACTTGTTCAGACGCTTTGAGCTCAGCATACAAGAGTTTGAAGTGTAACCATCATTGCTTGCTATTCTTGGTCTACTTTTTACTTTTAAAATGACTCGTAATGGCAGTCTGCCTACAAAAAGCTGATGAAGATCAAAAGCACCTCTCTCTAACTGCTAATTTCCACCTTTCTAGAAAGATCAAAACACTTCAAAAGCAGCAGAACAATCTGCCTGCCTAATTTTAAAAGCTTCAGATTTGATAAAGTGCCAACAAGCAACAGAAGGTAACAGTGCTAAATTTGTTGACTTAAACTCAGGTACACCTAGATTATTTTTAATGTAAGGTATGCCTGAAATAGCCTATATTTAACATAGCCCTTTCAATGAAGTATGCATTTAGAAACTTCAAAGAGTCAAATGTAATTCCTAAAATAAATATTATTTTTTAAACGTTATGTTTTACTGAAACTGAGTAGAGCTAGGACCAATAGAAGGTATCAGGTTAGTGTTTCACTTCTCTTTTGGGAAAAAATAAACAAACAAGTCACTCCTCTCCACAAGATCTTTACGTAGGGGAGGTGGAGATACAAACTTCGTTGCTGATATTCCTCAAAGCTTACTCACATCTTATCTTGCACACTGTACTTAGCAGTTGAGTACCTCCTCCCACAACTCCGACAACTCACTGCACTGGCAGTATGTTTTCTTATGCTGTACCTTCGCTACGGCATTTGTAAGAAACCTGAAGCACACCAGCAAATCAGCAATAGCCTGACACACTGCCGGCTCCCAAACCAATGTTCCATTCCATCTCTCAAGATCTGTTTTTTTCCATCTTACAATTAGTGTGCCAGATCTTCCAGCCAAGTGCTGTATTTGTGTGTTCTTATCTGCATAACACCTATCACCACACTCCTCCTATTTCATGATCATCTGGGAGAATAACACTTGCATTACTGGAATGTAAACAGTAAGATAAAAACGACTTAATAACCATCAACTTATCTAAGCACACTTATAAAGTAGAACCAAGAGCCTCCAGATGGTTTCCAGGTACTATTTTGGATATGGAAAAGACTCTCCCAGAAGAACTGGCCATTAACTATGAAACCAGTACAGTGAATTACCCCAACAGTGAGCACCTGAATTCAAATGAGCTGGGACCTCAATTCATCTCAGGTATCCTAAATGCTAACCACTTCACCATTTGTGTTAAAACTTACCAATTAAAACTATATCCGTTTATGCTGCGAGCACAAAAAATAAAATAAAATAAAATAAAATAAAATAAAATAAAATAAAATAAAATAAAATAAAATAAAATAAAATAAAATAAAATAAAATAAAATAAAA